GACGGGGTTTCACCATGTTGACCAGGATGGTCTCGATCTCTTGACCTTGTGATCCACCCGCCTCGGCCTCCCAAAGTGCTGGGATTACAGGCTTGAGCCACCGCGCCTGGCCAACTTTTATCATTATGAAATGACTATCCTGATAGTTTTCTTTTATTCTACAAGTTAGTGAAGGCAATATTTTTTCCACCACTAGGAAACATGTTTTTATCCTTTTGCATTAGAATATTAGGTATTTAAATTTTACTTTATTTCCTAATTTGTAAGAACTCTTTCTTTTTTCTTTTTTTTTTTTTTTTTTTGAGACAGGGTCTCCGTCTGTTGCCCAGGCTAAAGTGCAGTGGCACAGTTAAAGGCTCACTGCACCCTCTGCCCCCTGGGTTCAAGGGGTTCTTCCACTTCAGCCTCCTGAGTAGCTAGGACTACAGGCATGTGCCACTATGCCTGGCTAATTTTTGTATTTTTAGTAGAGACACGTTTTCACCATGTGCCCAGGCTGGTCTTGAACTCCTGGGCTCATGCCATCTGCCTGCCTCAGCCTCTCAAAGTGCTGGGATTAGAGACATGAGCCACCACGCCCAGCCCAAAACTTGGTCTTTCTGTATCTGTTTTTCCTACTCTCCTGGATCTTGTATTTCTCAGGTTTGAAATTGGATACATTTGCTCAGTGTTGTATACTTGGTGAATATCTGGAATCAAACACAGACAAGTTTAAAAAGTGTGAGCCTTTTTACAGTGATTAATTTTAGTATACTTGGTGAACATCTGGAATCAAACACAGACAAGTTTAAAAGGTGTGAGCCTTTTTACTGTGATTAATTTTAGTATAGCCAAATGTAAAAGCCACAGTTACAGTTTACCTCTTTCTGCATTGTAGGAATAGACTTCAAGATTAAAACAGTTGAGTTACAAGGAAAGAAGATCAAGCTACAGATATGGTAAGTGATGCTAATTTACTTTACATAACAGAATGCTAAGTTCCTCAAGGTTTCATAGTGAAATTCTTTTTTGTCACAGGTTTAGATTCTATGAGACTTTCCCTTTTAAAGGAGGCAGTCAGGTGACCTTTTTGTGCAGTGAAAGTCATTGCATGAACTTAAGTCCATCAGATCTAATAATCTTTTCTACTTACTGTATGAACTTGTGTAAGTTACATACTCATTGTTAGGTTTTTATCTTTCATATGTTAAGGGGGATAGTAACACCTATCTCAATGGATTGTTATAAGGGTTACATGAAATAATCTCTGTAAAGTTTTTAGTGACATGCTTTGTGAAAATATTTGTTTTCTTTAATAGGTTTTTAACTTTTTATGGGCATTATTTTTATTAGTTTATATTAGGTTTGCCTGAAGAAGTACAAAGAATTATTTGAATTTGTATTTGTCTGAATCATAGAATTTTGAATTATAATAACAATATTTTCCAACAAATATTGTGTTTTATTTGTATTATATATATTAACCCATTAATTATTAACAAGGACCCTGTGAAATCTGTCTTATATCTTTTGAGAAAACAGCTTTATTGATGTATAACTGACAGAATAAAAGCACATAAAGTGGACAATTTGATAAGTTTTGACATTTATAAACCTCTAAAACCATCGCCACAGTCAAGATAATGAACAGATTTGTCACTTCAAAAGTTTCCTCAAGCTTCTTTGTGATCCTTTGTAATCCCTTCTTCCCTACTACCCCTGGGTCCCCAGGCAGCTACTGTGCTTTCTTGTCGCTATATTTCTAATACTGGATATAAACGGATGGTATGTTTTCTCTTTGTCTTTTTTGGGGGGCTAGGGTCGGCCTTCTTTCACTCATCATAATTATTTTGGAAATGATCAATATGTTTATTACCTTTTATTGCTCAATACTATTTCATTAAGATACACAACTTGTCTTGTTTATTCAGCATAAAGCTGCTATGAGTCTTTTTATAGGCATATACTTTCTTTTCTCTTGGATTACTCCTATTTTACAGATAACCAAACAGGCGTACTTTGAGATAATTTAACCAAGGTCTTAGAGCATATTCATGGCAGAGCTGGGATGCATACTTGCTGGGATTACAGACATGAGCCACTGCTCCTGGCCCATTTTTTGTTCTTCATTGCCTGTCAGCAATTGTGCTGGGCCAAATGTGGTGACTCAATTGTGGAGGCAGGAGGATCTCTTGAGACCAGCCTGGAAACATAGTGAGACCCTTATCTATTTTAAAAAAAATATATATGAATTTTCATGTTTTCTCAATGGGTTTTTTTTTTTTTTTTCTGTGATAGGACCTGTTATATGATAGTTGATGAGTGATACATATAGAGTACTTTAGAACAGTGTCTGACACATAATTAACGTTCAGTAAATCATAGCTACTGTTATTTTGGGGTCTCCTGTTATGAGGTTAGAATGCTAAGAATATTATTTTAGGGTATGAGCAGAGGAGACAGTTAGCAAAGGACATTGCAAAGCCATACCTGGAGACTTAGAATGAGAATGAGGAGAAATCAGTGTCCCAGAATCCAATAGAAGACTGTTCTGAACATTAGGTATTCCGTTTTAAAGGAAGCTAGTAGTTAGAAATTGAATATGTTTAATCAAAATGTCTCTGTTACCTGATGTTGTAATTAGAAATATCTTTATGTGTAACATTCTTTTAATATAAATTTAAATAGAATTTAGATATTTTTAAGTGTTTCCTAAAACTAGTAGTTCTCTTTGAAACAAAACCCACTTGATGATCATTGATTTTTGTTTACTTTAGCTGGGAAATAACTCAGCAAATGAACTGTGGCTCATACTCTGTTTCAGTATAATTAAAGTTGATCTCTGAGGAAGGGTGTCAACTATTTATTCTGAATTTCAAATAGGTGCCCCCCTCATCCATGTCTGACCTTCGTTCTAAGTGGTGACCTTAGTTCCAAGCCGTGACTAGCTCTGCCCTGCTGATTGGCTCTCTTAACTGTGTTCCTTTGTACGTATACTTCAAGCTACTGATTTTCAAGCTTTTTGACAGTAAGAGATACATTGTGGCTGGGTATACATATACATGGATATGTGAGTGTATATATAACAGAAACAATATTTTCTTAAAATATATTTTACATAAACCTTTGCCCTACAAATTTATCCTGTTCCTCTGTCTGTTCTCCCTCTTCCACAAACTTTCTCTTACTCTGTTCCTTGACCTTGTGGATTTATATATTTTCCCCTTATCATTTTAGTCTGGTGTTTTTTTTTTGTTTTTTGTTTTGTTTTTTTTTTTTTTTTTTTTTTTTT